ACAGTGATTGGGCATTTCCCAAGTAACAATGACGTATACCCGGCAATACACCAACTATGCCCCAAAAAGTATTTTTGGGCCAGTGGGGCAACTAAAGGCCAAATTTTCGCAAATGAATCACATACTGCTAACACCTCAAACCCGAGGCACGAGAACAGTGCAAGTGAAACTGAGCACACAACTCGCCAAATTTTACACAGGGGTTTGCTATAGCATCCATGATAGGGCATGGAGGACAGTGTGGTGCAAAATTTTGAAAAGGGAGCCCCAAAATACTTTAGACTTTCGAACAAAGGCCCGTCTAACCCGCCCCAGGGGAAACACAAGGGCCTAAAAACTACGACCCTCCGCATTAAAACCAGTGCACCACTAAAACTTTAGCTTCCAAATCCAAACCGGGAAACTTATTGGTTTTTATCTAAAAATCTAAAATTTAAAAAAAAGAAAATTTTTTAAATTTAAAATTTTTGAATGAGTAAAGATGAAGTTAAAATACAGTTTTTAAAATCACAGTTTTGCATTTTTTATAATTAAATGATTACTAATTACTTTTTTCCCCGAATGAACCTTTCAAACCCCGCAGTATAAAAATTAGTGAAATAAATTTCCAAAAAAATTCTATTCCCAAAATTTCAAAAAATCTAAAATGAATGATTTGTAGAATGAAAGTATACATTACCCAAAAAAGGCATCTTTTCCCTTTAAACAGTTTTCCCACGCCCTGGTGGTAGGGCATGGGTTTTTTAGTACCTCGGCATCCATTACCGTAATCGTCACACCCCCTTTCTCCTCCCCAATTGGGAATAAATTTTGGGTTTTTTTTCCTTAGAAAAAAAAAAAAATGTTTAAAACTGTATGCAGAACAAAAAACTACAATTAAATAAAAATGAAGTTTAAATATTTTTTTATAAAAAAGAAAATTCCCCTTATAAAGGGAAAATTAGGTACCAAATACCCTATGCATATTTTTTTTTTTTAACACATCGCCATTTCCCCCACCCAAAAAAAAATTCCATCACCATTCACTCCATCACGTCTTGCCAGAGGCATGCTTTCACTACAGTTATAAAACTGCAATAATTTAAAACCCCTCCTTCAGAGGGGCTGGGCCCCTGTCAGTGGGCCCTCCCCCAGCCCATGGCACGATTAAAAGATAAATCTGACTAGGGGATACAAATTTTTAAAGCAAAAATTTTGCCTCGAAATAGCGCTTAAAAACCCCCCACCTATTTTTTCTGTACGAGAAAAAGCGTCCACTTTGGGGCCCGAGCATGCCTCCCCTTGTCCCCTGGGTGCCATGTTTTTCAAGCCAGCCAAATGCGGTCCTCCCAAAAATACAATGGAACATTTTTATATTTAAACACAGCCTTTGTAGTGGAAAGCACCGCAAAAAAAGTCCCCATGGGGCCCCAAAAAAAAAGTTTTAGTGCCAACCCCCACAGCAAAAAAGGGGGAGAATTAAATATGGGGAGAAGAAAGAACATTCCCAATATTTAAAGGGGGAGTGCATGCTCCCGAGCTGGTAGGTTGTATAATAAACCCCCAAACAACCCATTGCTACTATTGTTGGGGAAGAAAAAAGGCAATCAAGGAAGCTGTTCTTGCCAAAAAGGGCAACTAGTTTTTGAAACTGAGAAACGCAAGTGGGAGAAGAAATTTTAGAGACTCTTTTTGGTTTTTTGGTAAATGAGAAACAGATAGCAGGAATAAACATCCTCAAACGATCATAAAGTGAAAAGGCTAGGGAAATTGCATGACGATTTAAAATTAAAAAAAAAAGCCCGCAAAATAGTGGGTGCGATTGAATTAAGGCCAGCAAAGGGTTTGGGTTTGAGAGATTTAAAAAAGGGGGGGGGCATTCATAGTGTGATTTAAAGGGATGGGGAGGGTGGGCCCGTTTGGGCCCCCAAAGCGGGTGAAAAATATGTGCAGGGAAATTCCAAGGGGTACATAGACAGTGAAGGACTGAAACCTGAACAAGTGGTTTTTAAATTTTTGAAAACAGGCCCGTTTTTGGAAAAAAAATGCCCAAACAGGGCCACATTACTCAGGAGGAAAAAAAGGGACTCCCCGGACATAAGCCTATAAAGACGGGTTACTCTGTTGATGTGTGCCAATGCTAGGGTGATTGCAAATGAAGTCTTTTTTTGGGAATCACTCTGAAACTCCCAGAGTGTTCAGGGAAAAAAAAAATGTCGTCAAGGGTAATTTGTGTGTGCTGTGGAGGGAAAACGAAGGCATGGGTTTACTAGGGGCTTTTTCTATGACTGGTTACACCCATGCATTTGCCCCCAATGGAAAAATTTTCCAAAATTTTAAAAAAAATTTGTCCCTTTAAATCCTTTTTTTGGGATTAACAATCTCCCCGGTCATCCTTCAACCCTTGGGAGAGCGCCCTTTCCAAGGACATGAGTTCTAAGGGGAAGTTTTTGCCTCCTAAAACCACTCCTCTCCTGCAAACCCATTGGCCAGGGAGGTTTATTTTCCCAAATTCAAGAAAATGTACACAAAAACTAGTTTGAAAGGTGCTTTGTAGTGACCTTAGAAAAATCAAGTGCCCCTAAGAGAGTTTTTTTTAAAGATCATTTTTACCATCCCAAATTTTGGGAAACATTATAGGAAAGGGTTTGGGGGGAAGGGGACTAAGAGGACCTTGAACTCTGCTTGGGAAAAAAATGTTGCCAGAATGTGTAACAAAAGGGATTTGAAGGGTTTGGGGGCTAACCCTGAGAATCCAAAGCCAGTTGGAATCCATTGTTGGGATTTGGGGAATTCCCTTTGGGGGTTTTAGGTTAGTGGGGGGGGATTTGGAAAAAGCTGGTGGGGGAGGACAATGAAGAAAATAAACCCCGAGAGCTGCAGTCATTTTGAACCGCAAGAGGGCAAACCGGGGGAAAAATGCTTCGGAGAAGGGGGTAGAAAATTGAAAGGAAAAATTTCCTACTTTTAAATTAAGGAAAAGTGTGGGAAAAAGGGGTTGAAATGCAAACCTTTTTTGAAAGAAAAAACACCCCTGAAAACAGCTCTGCAAGGCCTGTTGGGAACCGTACACTGACAATGTTGTGAACCCCTTTAGGAAAGTCCCTAAAGGGGAAAGAGAGTACAGGTTTTCTATGGACAGATATGTTGTCACGAAAATCCAGTGACTCTGAAGCTGGTCCTAGTGGCATTAAAAAAACAAAGGGGGGTAACCCCCGAAAAAGAAATGCTCCCTCAAGTGCCCAATGGAAGGGGGTTTTCCCCCTTTTGAACACTAAGAAAATTTAGTGGTCTCCCCCCCCCTCCCATCCCATCAATCCCCCACCAGACTTCAATAAAGGGAACGTCATGTAAAATGTGCTGTCTTCTTCAAATTTTTGTGTATTAAAAATTTCAAATTCCCCTCATTTTTTCGTAGACCCACTGCTGACACTCCACCCCCCAAATATCTGAATACATTCACTTCCTCCATACTCTCTCCCTCCAATTTGATATCCAATCTTCTGTTACCTAATTTTTTTTATTCTCATCACCTTACTCTTTCCTATATTCACTTTTAATTTTCTTCTTTTATTTTTTTTTTTTTTTAACAAGTCGGCCATCTCCCACCGAGGCAGGGTGACCCAAAAAAGAAAGAAAATCCCCAAAAAGAAAATACTTTCATCATCATTCAACACTTTCACCACACTCACACATTATCACTGTTTTTGCAGAGGTGCTCAGAATACAACAGTTTAGAAGCATACACATATAAAGATACACAACATATCCCTCCAAACTGCCAATATCCCAAACCCCTCCTTTAAAGTGCAGGCATTGTACTTCCCATTTCCAGGACTCAAGTCCGACTATATGAAAATAACCTGTTTCCCTGAATCCCTTCACTAAATATTACCCTGCTCACACTCCAACAGATCGTCATGTCCCAAGTACCATTCGTCTCCATTCACTCCTATCTAACATGCTCACGCACGCTTGCTGGAAGTCCAAGCCCCTTGCCCACAAAACCTCCTTTACCCCCTCTCTCCAGTTCAAGAGATGCAGGGTAAAGCTAAAATGAGACAAACACAATGTACTCTACTTCTAAACTAACCCTAAAATAAAGTATCTTAACTTTTCCTTTGTTTAGAGATGGAACATTCACTGATGCTAAGGCAGAAATTAGTAGATTAGCCCAAATGAATTTTTCATAAAGAAAAGTACATGGTTAACATATCAGATGTCACCTCCTTACTCCACTAGACTCTGAGCACGCCATTAACAATAAGCCATGTACTAACTCTTGGTACTCTTTCTTTCTTCTTTCAATAAATCGGCTGTCTCCCACTGAGGCAGGGTGGCCCCAAAAAAAAAAAAATTAAAGTTTCTCCTTTTAAATTTAGAAATATACAGAAGGGGTAACTAGCCCCTTGCTCCCGGCATTTTAGTTGCCTTTTACGACACGCATGGCTTATAGAGGAAGAATTCTGTTCCATTATCCACGACAGCAAAAATTTTGGATTCTAAAATATCCCATGGAATAATATCTTCACAAAGGCAAGAATGGATGAAAGATGAAGATCCTACTCTTAACTGCTGGATATCTAAGACATCTTAAATGTATTGGAAAGCAACCAAAATACATAAATACTGTACACAGATATTGCCTTAGATAAATGCATCCTTCAATGTAATAGAGCACAGTGTACATATAAAAACACTGCCTTGTACGCATCCAGTAAGTATGTGTGGGTGTATCGGTGCGAGCAAGGCAACATTTATGAAAAGATTAAGGAAAACCAGTTAGCTGGAATCTAGTGAAGCAGTCACTGCACTTTGAAGAACAGGCAAGGATGCTGTAAGTTCGAAGGTCATTTGACCGTGATGCCAACACACTTCTGGAAACACTGTTGAATGTTATCATTATCATAGTGAAGAGCTAAACCCATAGGTGTCATGCAGATGTTAATGAAAAGCTTCAACACTTCTGGCACAACCGTATGGACGATTGCACATCTGACAAAATATTAAGCTATTACTGGCTTACCATTCTACCATCCCTTTGATCAACCTGCCGGTCGTTCTGAGTGTCACTATTGTAGTTCTCTCTCCGGAAGTCTCGGCGGTCTTCCCGCGCCTCCTCTCTTCTATCGTCACGACGTTCAAATCGACGAGGTTCATCTCTTAAGAGAAAGAGGTAAAACTGTAGGAAATTTATCTTTATAAATGCACCTGAGAAAAACTAGAGACAAATTACCAGCAAGAGAAAACCCAGGATAGGTCAACTCAAGTCAGTTTACAATTAATGTGAAGAGCATCTTTATTTGTATGAACCCTGGACATTCTTCACATCCAATATGTAGGCTGTGCTTGCACAGCCTACATAGTGGCATGTTCATCTACTTTTCAAAATTAGTACATGCCTAAAAATAAAATTTATGTAGGTAATTAAGCTGCCAAGGCAACTCTTTCTGAAACAACTTAACTTTCATTGCAGCTCTATTTTAATACTCTATATGAAGTGAACGGCACAAAGTACTGAGCGCAAAAACAGCCAATTTGGCTGCACAATTTTAGGGACCAGAAATGTAATATTTTTTCTTGTCTATGAAGCAGCATGGAATAATACATTGCCTCAAACTGATAAGCAAACTTTTAACAGGATTAAATTAGCTTAACACTGGTTCTACACATCTGTCTAATTCAAGTATTTGTCTGTCTCAATGAATAAACGTGATTGCACTTTTGGGTATATGAAATTCTCTAAGGCAACGGGTGTTTTTTGACCCATGTGACAATGTCCTGTGAAGTTTCCCTTACACAACTTTTGCCACCTGTACTAACTTTTGCCAACTCCACTATAAGGAATGATGTAGACTTGCTTTTTTCCGCATCACAGTGATGATTTTGGCCTAGAAGGCCCTGAGGGTAGGGAAGTGATGACGTGTATTGTTTTTGCTTCTGAACATTGTTGGCAAGTTGGAGAAACACTACAGGTGAGAAATAAAAAAAACCCATGCCTCTCAATTTGTATCTTTTTTTTTTTCTGTAAGTGTTGTCAAATTTAAGTGTTCTTTCCTACAGTCATAATTAAATTAAGAGGAAGGAAAACCCAAGCTTGGAGAAAATGACAGATGCTAGTAGTTATCAGAGAACCTAAACAAGAGTGATTTTAGAATCTGCCCTTATCACACTTCTAACACTATTACACAGAACCACGGTAGTATGCAAATAACCTGCTTATGCCATGCTTAAAAGTTTTCTATGTCCAGGAAGCAACATAATAGTCAGGTGATCCCTTGTTCCAGGATACTCCCACACACCTTACCTTCCTTTGGGTACCTGTACATATAAAAAAATTTCTCTTGTATTCTCTAATGAGAAGCCCAAAATGTTGTCATTAATAAAGATAATCACTGCATCAGTGTCATTTACTAAACCTGTTCTCTACAATACTCACTTTACTCCATCCAATTTTCGTAGTTTTTCTTCAATCTGGCGTTCCCGAGCAGCTGTATCCACAGGCCTGGCGTTACCAAAGATGCCACCACCACCACCTCCACCACCACCGCTGCTACCGCCAACACTACCACCACCAGTAGAACCACTACCACTGCTACTGCTGCCACCACCACTACTGCCAATTTCCCTGAAAGTTAGTCTGCCTTAATTCATAGAGACAAACAATAAAACTATTGCAGTGTAATCAGTAATATTGTTTAGAAAAAACTCACAAACTGTCCTATAAGAAACATACTTATTTTACATAGAAGATTATATTTTAAAACATTAAGCACATACTATAATCTTAACCATTTTACTGTCATAGCCCCCAAATTAAAAGGGCTCATACAGTAGTGCTTAAAAAATATATTATGCAATGGCAGAGAATTTTTTTCTGAAAGTAATTATGACTGAAATGTTAAAAGCAGAGGGGTATATAGTATTGGAGTGGTTGGCATTTTTGTTTAATAAATGTATGAAAGAGGGGAAGGTACCTAGGGATTGGCAGAGAGCATGTGTAGTTCCTTTACATAAAGGAAAGGGGGACAAAAGAGACTGTAAAAATTATAGGGGAATAAGTTTACCGAGTATACCAGGAAAAGTGTACAGTAGGGTTATTATCGAAATAATTAGAGGTAAGACAGAGAGTAGGATTGCAGATGAGCAAGGAGGCTTTCGAGTGGGTAGGGAATGTGTAGATCAAGTGTTTACATTGAAGCATATATGTTAACAGTATTTAGAGGTAGGGAAGTTTTCATTGCATTATGGATTTGGAAAAGGCATATGATAGAGTGGATAGGGAAGCAATGTGGCAGATGTTGCAAGTATATGGAATGCTGTGAAGAGTTTTTATGAGGGTAGTGAGGCTCAAGTTAGGGTGTGTAGAAGAGAGGGGATTACTTCCCGGTAAAAGTGGGTCTTACACAGGGATGTTACTGTAATGCCACCATGGTTGTTTAATATATTTATAGATGGGGTTGTAAAAGAAGTAAATGCTAGGGTGTTGGGGAGAGGGGTGGGATTAAATTATGGGGAATCAAATACAAAATGGGAGTTGACACAGTTACTTTTTGCTGATGATACTGTGCTTATGGGAGATTCTAAAGAAAAGTTGCAAGGTTAGTGGACGAGTTTGGGCGTGTAAAGGTAGAAAGTTGAAAGTGAACATAGATAAGAGTAAGGTGATGAGGGTATCAAATGCTTTAAAGAAAAATTGGATATCACATTGGAGAGGGAGTATGGAGAAGTGAATGTTTTCAGATATTTGGGAGATGACTTGTCAGTGGATGAGTTTATGAAGGATGAGGTTAGAATTGATAAAGAAAAAAAGGTGAGTGGTGCGTTGGGGTATCTGTGGAAAACAAAAAAACGTTATCTATGTCTGTGGAGACAAAAAACGTTATCTATGAAGGCAAAGAAGGGAATGTATGAAAGTATAGTGGTACCAACACTCTTATATGGGTGTGAAGCTTCGGTTGTAAATACTGCAGCGAGGAAGCGGCTGGAGGCAGTGGAGATGTCCTGTCTAAGGGCAAGGTGTGGTGTAAATATTATGCAGAGAATTTGGAGTGTGAAAATTAGAAGGTGTGGAGTTACTAAAAGTATTAGTCAGAGGGCTGAAGAGGGGTTGTTGAGGTGGTTTGGTCATTTAGAGAGAATGGGTCAAAGTAGAATGACTTGGAGAGCGCATAAATCTGTAGGGGAAGGAAGGAGGGGGTAGGGGTCGTCCTCGAAAAAGTTGGAGGGAGGGGGAAATAGGAGGTTTTGTGGGCAAGGGGCTTGAACTTCCAGCAAGTGTGTGCGAGCGTGTTAGATAGGAGTAAATGGAGACGAATGCTTTTTGGGACCTGACTAGCTGTTGGAGTGTGAGCAGGGTAACATTTAGTGAAGGGATTCAGGGAAACTGGTCATTATAGATTTAGCCAGACTCGAGTCCTGGAAATGGGAAGTACAATGCCTGCACTTTAAAGGAGGGGTTTGGGATATTGGCAGTTTGGAGGGATATGTTCTACAGTGGTACCTCGGGATACGAATAGCTCAAAACGGGAACAATTATGCAAGTGCTTTTGTAAGTGTATTTTTGGGGGTCTAAAATGGATTAATCTTTTACATTATTCCTTATGAGAACAAATTCATTTGGTATCAGCACTCGAACAGCCTTCTGAAACGAAATAAGTTCGTATCCTGAGGTACCACTGTATATCTTTATATATACTTCTAAACTGATGTATCCGAGCACCTCTGCAAAAACAGTGATTATATATGAGTAAGGTGAAAGTGTTGAATGATGATGAAAGTATTTTCTTTTTGGGGATTTTCTTTCTTTTTGGGTCACCCTGCCTTGGTGGGAGACGGCTGACTTGTCGAAAAAAAAAAAAAAACAAGAAAGAGTGGCATGGTTTTGGGGCCTGTCAAAAATTTGAAGTAGACCTAGTAAAAACTAAAACAGACGGGGGGTTCCCTACCCATTTCATGAAAAAAAAAAAAAAATTCAAAATTAATACATGGTACCCTGAGTTTCGTAATTCTTTCCCAGTCTTTTTTGAGTGCCGTTACCGAACGAATTTTTTCCCCTAAGGAAAAATAAAATTAGATTACCGTTTCAGAACCCCAAAAATCACTCAAAAAAGCATTTCAATAATACATTCTAATTGTTAAGTTGGAAGCATATAAACCGGGGTACCACTTATTTTAAACATTTGAGCCCTATTTAAAGCTACTTTCAACTGAAATTACCCAAAATTATTTTAATTTCACTATTTTTTTCTTCCATTCCAACCCAAAGCACCCATTCATAGACTCATTCTCTTGGTTAGAAAAATTTTAAAATTCACGCTTAGTTTAAAAACCCTAGATCCCGCCTTTTCGGCATCAGTGTGCAGTTTATGCAAGAGACAGTGAAAGGATTAATGAAAATTTTACCAATTTTTAGGAAACAGTTGATGTTTAAAAAAAAAAAAATATCAGGATTAAAAAAAAAAAAAAAAACTGGTGATTTAAGCATTAAATTTACACTTAGAAGTTCCTTCAAACATTAAACACAAACTATAATTTAACAGAAATTTTCCATATTCGAAATTTAAAAAATTCATGATTTCCTATAGGAAATTTTTTCTAAACCAAAGAAAAAAAAAAAATTGAATTAAAAACCAGTTTACAAATAATTATGATAACCACCCCAGTATGGCAAAAAAGCAAGACAGTCCTGATTTAAAAAACTTGCCTAATGATTAGACTTAACAAAAACATTTAAACCAAAAAATTTTCCCCTGGGAAAGTGGGAAAAGAATTCTTCCTCGTAAGCTATGCAGTCGAAAAAAAGGGAACTAAAAAGCCCCGGAGCAAGGGATATAACCCCTTTCTCCTGTAATATTACTGAATTTTAAAAGAGAAAATTTGTTTTTTTTTTTTGGGCCACCTCGCCTTTGGGGGGTACAAAAATTTGTTGAAAGATGATGATTTACCAAATCCTCTGCTTTGCTACTTACACTGTTCTGCTGAATCAAACATATCCTGATATCTTTAGTGAACTGCTTTGCCAAACCCTTTGCATATTACATCACAAATTAACACCAGACTCACTCAAAACCACTTGTATAAAGCCTTAACTGTTCATAAAATTTATGCTTTGATATATTTTTTTTGTTCTTCAGATTTTAGACAAGCTAAAAAAAATTTATAAAATTGATCTTTCAGATAGTAAAATATGATATGCACACTTGCAATTTTTAACACCCCGGCTGCTCCCCCAAGGGAAAGGGTGACCCCAAAAAAAGAAAAACTTTCACCATCACTTTTTTAAATCACTGTTTGCCAGGGGCATACTAGATTCCAGCTAAATGCCTCTCCAAAAGTGATTTCCCACCTCTCCCCCTGCAGGTACTGTATTTTTTTTTCCTACAGGACAAAAATTCAGCTAACCCCCCATAAATGTTCCCTTTTGACCCAAAATCCAAAGCACAAAAAAGTCTAAAAGCCACTTGCCCCCACTCCTACAACATGCTCGAAATGCCCATCCAAGCAATTTTTGGGAAAACGAATTTAAACTGCTATAATATCGTGTGTTCCTCATAATATACAGCATAATCATGAAATAATCAATTAATATACATATAAAGTGGAACCTTGGCTTACGAACTCCCCACCATGCGAATTTTTCAGGATACGAACCATCGTTTGGTTGATATTTGGCTTCTGGATACGAACGAAATTTCAAGATGTGAACTTCCCCCTCAAGGAAGGTTCCTTAAATAAATAAATAAAATATTTATTTCTTTGCAAAGGTTACAATGTGTGTGTAACCTTAAATAAATAAATAAAATATTTATTTCTTTGCAAAGGTTACAATGTGTGTGTACATATAATATGATTGGAGCAAAGAAAACCACTATCATGCTGAGGCATTTTGCAGAGACTTAACCTAATACTAATAGACAGGTGAAAAGTGTACTAGAAGTGGTTACCAATGTTTTGCTGATGATGGCGCCAACTACTGGTAGCCAAACCATACCATGGGTGGGGATAGAACCCGCGATCAGAGAGTCTCAAAACTCCAGACCGTTGCGTTAGCCACTGGACCAGCTGGTCCAGTGGCTAACACGATGGTCTGGAGTTTTGAGACTCTGATAGCAGGTTCTATTCCCACCCGTGGTATGGTTTGTTTGCAATCGTGTCATTACGATTTCGTGAGTCATACTGGCAGCCTTCTGAAGTTTTTCCTTACTGTTATTGTTTTTTTTTTTTTCAACAAGTCGGCCGTCTCCCACCGAGAGAGGGTGACCCAAAAAAAGAAAGAAAATCCCCAAAAAGAAAATACTTTCATCATCATTCAACACTTTCACCACACTCACACATTATCACTGCTTTTGCAGAGGTGCTCAGAATACAACAGTTTAGAAGCATATACGTATAAAGATACACAACATATCCCTCCAAACTGCCAATATCCCAAACCCCTCCTTTAAAGTGCAGGCATTGTACTTCCCATTTCCAGGACTCAAGTCAGACTATATGAAAATAACCGGTTTCCCTGAATCCCTTCACTAAATATTACCCTGCTCACACTCCAACAGATCGTCAGGTCCCAAGTATCATTCGTCTCCATTCACTCCTATCTACACGCTCATGCACACTTGCTGGAAGTCCAAGCCCCTCGCCCACAAAACCTCCTTTACCCCCTCTTTCCAACCCTTTTGAGGACGACCCCTACCCCTCCTTCCTTCCCCTATAGATTTATATGTTTTCCATGTCATTCTACTTTGATTCATTCTCTCTAAATGACCAAACCACCTCAACAACCCCTCTTCTGCCCTCTGACTAATGCTTTTATTAACTCCACACCCAGGGCCGGATTACCGCATAGGCAAACTAGGCATTTGCCTAGGGCCCCGCGCATTTGGGGGCCCTGCGGTCCAAAGGGTTCAGGGGCTCATCCAAGACTGTGCACATGGTGCAAGTGCAAAGGGGTCCCTACCTAAAAAGTTCAAGTGTTTGGAGAGTAAAATTGATTTTTAAAAATTAATCAAAACAAAAATAAATAATGAAATAAAATAAAATAAAAATAAATAAACCTAACCATAGATGGCAACACTCAACACGCCTTTGTTTACATCCCGCTAATGGGTGAGTATAGGAGATTCCTCTCCAATTTTCTGTAGTAATTATACGTTATCTAGACTTGTACTGTGACAAATTAACTGAAGTGTTGTTGATAGACATTGATGTGTATGGATAAATGTTTGTTTTCGCCTCTAAATGTTAAGGGAGGTACCTGATAGGGTTACTTGACCAGTAAAGACGCATTTTTGGTAAAAATACTATAAAGAAAAACCTAAAAACGCAAACTGACTTCCCTTCGTAGGTTTTAAAAGCACTTTGTCCTGTCTTTAACCCTTTCAGGGTGCATCCCGTAGATCTACGGCTTCACGTTGAGTGTCCAAACCGTTTAGATCTACGGCAAAATTCTAGCGCCGTCAAATTTAGCGCGAAAGCGCTCATAGGCCTACATGTGAGAGAAAGGGTCTGCGTGGTGGGTGTGCGCCATAAACAAAAAATCTAGGCCCCCGCATAGCTTTGTGGGAACACCGGCTCAGTTACCCTTGTTCACCATGCCTCGTCGCAAGTCAGCTCTCACTCCCCGGAAAATTGGGACTCTCCTCTTCCTATCTGATAGTTCTGACACTGATGGAAGTGGAAATGAAGACGAATTCTACGGCTTTGATCAGTTAGTGACCGAAAAGAATGACCAGGATATCAATAATAGTGCAGAAAACCCTGACGATCCTCAACCTTCTACCTCTGGTGTGGGCACTCGTGACTCACAGTCGGTTGTTCCTCAACGCAAGAGAAAGCTAATATTTTCGCGTGGCCAGGCCTCTGACTTCAGTAATGATGATGATAGTGATGTGGATTGTGATTTTATTGCGCTCGACGATCATTCGAGTAGTGATATTTGAGGAATCATATTCACCAGTGAAGCGTCAGTATGTTCGCTGCCGCATGCGCTCAGGTAGTGTACCCTATGCTGTGCCCAGGGGACAGAGTACATCCCGTGGCCCTACACCAGTTTTAGGTAGTGATAGTGAGGATGATGTGGCTACACTTGGCATGGATAGACCACAGGCATCAGTGGATGGTGGTAGTGGTGATGGTAGTGGCACCGCCATGCGTGACTCACCAGCCCACGCTGCTGACTCGTCAGTTCAAGGACAAAGCAGAGCGTCAGCCACCAGCCCACCACAACCACAACCACCCGCACAACCAGCCTATGATGTCCAGATCCACCAGAAACCCGTATGTGGGATTGGCAGCAAAATCCCAATTTTGTTCCCAAGCCTCACCACTTTGATGACTCTCAAAGTGGAATTCTACCTACTTGTCCCCTTGGAACCACGGCCAATGAACTGGAATTCTTTGAATTATTCTTTGACCAGCCATTGATGGAAACTTTTGTCAGGGAAAGTAATAAGTATTTTGAGTACACCATGGCAAATACGATCATATCACCACAGTCAAGACTACACGGTGGAAAGAGACGACTTTTTGCAGAAATGTATTTGCTTTTTGCCACAATAATGCTTAGCCTCATGTAATAAAGCATAATGTAAAAGCATACTGGTCCACGTTTGGCTAATTTCTGCCCAGGCCCTTCAGTGAAATCATACCAGTGAACAGGTTTATCTTACTCTTACGTATGTTGCACTTCTCTGACAAAACCAGGCCTGACAAAAGTGGACAGGTTGTACAAGATTAGAAATTTTTCATGTATCTCAAACAAAAGTTCAGCATATACTTTTATCCATTAAAGAATCTTGTAATTGATGATCTTTGATTTTGTTCAAAGGTAGACTGTCATTCAAGCAGTATATACCGAGCAAGAGGAAT